AATAACCATTTTATCTGCACAATTTTTTAAAATGATTTAATATAAAATATGATTTTATGGAATTTAAAAGAAAATTTAAATTTTTCTATATTGATAGACTAAAAAAAGAATAAAAAGCTCAAGCATATTATCAAAGCAGTAGAAGTTATTGAATTTTCTGTTAGTTTGCAAAGGCTGGTATAGGTTCACAAGCTAGGTGGCTCCAACAACAGAAATTTGTTGTCTCAGTGGAAGCTGGGATTCTGAAATCAAGGTATTGAGAAAGTATTTTCTTTCTTCGTGCTGTAAAGGAAGGATCCATTCCAAGTCCCTCTGCTGGTTTTGTAGATGGCATCTTCATAGGCAACATGGCCTTCTCTCATGTGTGTAAGACATTCTCCAAATACCTCCTTGTGATAAGGACATCAGTCATACTAGATTAGGACCCATATTGGTGTCATCAATGTAATAACCTTGTTTAAAATCCTGTCTAATACAATCACATTGTGAGGTACCAAGAAGGGGAGTGGTTAGAATTTCAACATATGAATGTTGGGATACAACTCAATCAGTAATAATGTAAGCCAAACTCATTCACTATCCTTCTTTTGGGGGGGGGGCTGTTAGTTGCTCTGTATTTGAGATCACTAATTTTGGTGTAGGAAAAAGATTTTAATGCCTAGAATTACTTTACCTATGAATTGCCATAATGGTTATGATTTATAAAGCTCATAGCAAAATTATATGTATGATATGATAATATATATAAATTTTGTTTTCAAACTCCAAAATTAGATTTTGTTTTTTTTTTGTTGCTAGAGTTGTAATATTATAAATTAAAGTAATACAAACATATAAATAAAGTGATATATTGGCTTTTGAATTAAATTGCCCTTGGTTTCAAATCCCAACTCTCAAGCTGGTGACATAGCTTGACTGGTGAGATGGTTTGGCAGGTAAAACTACTTGCCACCAAGCCTGATGACCTGAGTTCAATCCCCTAGACCTCCATGGTGGAAGAAGAGAATAGACTCTGGAAAGTTGTTCTCTGACCTCCACACACTCACAGTAACATATGTGTGTACACATGCAATGAAAAATAAATTGTAATAAAACCTTAATGCCAAGTTTGTTAATTATGTACAAAGGATAATCTGAGCAATGCTTCCATCCCAGAGCAAACATCCAGAGTGTAATCATGTTCTTATATATGGCTGAAAGAAGGCCAAATTATTAAAGCCTTTACTGAGTATAATCTGAGGCTCATATACTGATCATGTTTTTTTTTCTTTTCCTCTAAAGGGAACTTTACTATTCAGAATGTTTTCCCACAATCAGATGGTGATAGTTCTAAAGTAAAGGTTAAAGTTCGTATGAACATCCATGGAATCTTCAGTGTGGCTAGTGCATCTGTAATTGAGAAGCAAAATTTGGAAGGCGATCACTGTGATGCCCCTATGGAAACAGAAGCATCTTTTAAGAGTGAAAACAAAGATGATGTGGTATGTAGAAATCCTGATATAGACATCATTTTAATCAGAACTGTGTCTCAATAGTTCAGTACATTATTTTCCAAGGGTTGCCTTTGTCTATGTTATAGAATCGGTATAAACGTCCTAATAAAAAGCATTAAGGAATATTTTTTATTAAAAATACTCTATTCGGTGCTGGAAAGATGGCTCAGTGGTTAAGAGCACTGACTGCTCTTGCAGAAGACCTGGGTTTGATTCCCAGCACCCACATGGCGGCTACAAACCGTCATTAACTCCAGTTCCAGGGAAATCTGAAGCCCTCTTCTGACCTCCACAGCATTGCACAACACGGGTGCACTCACATACATGCAGGCAATACACTCATACACATAAAATAAAATAAAAAAATTTTTAAAATTAAAAAAATATACCTTCTATGTTTAATAAACTTTTCAGGGGCCAAGCCATCTTTCATAGCATTATATGAGATGTCTGAGTTTGAAATCATCTTTAAGTTTTTAAAATATGTATTTTTAAGTTTTTAAAATATGTATTTTCCAGACTAAGTTTTGAACTAAGCACATATTCTTAAATACTTTCTTAAAATGTTTTCAGGGCTTTCTGTGACAGTTAAGTAAAGGAGTATGCTGCATGTTCAGTAAAATTTCAATACAGATCTTATGTTTTCTTTATGAAATATTTATGGTATGCTATAGATAAAAGAATATTAGGGAAACTTTTTTATTTTTTGAGGCAGGGTCCTCATGCTGTCTAGGCTGGCTTCAAACTCTATGTAGTTGAGACTGGCAATGAACTCCTAGTCTTCCTTGCCTTCACCTTCAGAGTTGCTGGGGCTACAGGTGTGTGCCTCTGCCTCCATGCTCAGTTCAGGGGGAACTTTCATTTAATGAAGTAAAGAAAGTATGTTTACCTTTTTAATGTATACCATTTGTAAGTTATTCTTAATTGCATTTGTTACATTTTTTCTAGTCATGTAGAGGGCTACCCTAGATTTTCCCTTTATTTGTGCATTTAAGAATGAGTTTTAAGGGTCAGGAGATAGTTTTAGCTTGTCTTACAAGCATGAAGACCTGAGTTCAAACCCAGAACCTACATTAAAAAAGTTTATTGTGATGGTTAATGCTTGTAATCTCAGCTAGCCTGAGGAATGACATCTACACATACACACAAACACACACGGGGGGGGCAGGGAGAAGAGAGAGAATTTTTGTAATCCTAGCACTCAGCAGAGAAGAGGAGGAGGATTACTGCAAGTTTGAGGTCAGTCTGGGCTACAGAGTAAGAGCCTGACTTATTTTTTTTCTAAGGGGGGTATTTCAAGATGGGAATTTTAAAAGTTTATGTTTTAAACTGGGTATGGCAGTCCACATCCTTAATCCCAGCACTCAGGAGGCAAAGGCAGGCAGATAGATCTCTGTGAGTTCAAGGCCAGCCTGGTCTACATAGCTAGTTCCAGGCAAGCTAAGCCTACAGGGAGTCCCTGTCTCAAAAAAGACCAAAGAGAAAGTTGTTTTAATATGTCAGAGACATCTAAGTTTTTATTAATTTTAGTGCTCTACTACATTTAAGAGTATGTAACTTGGGGGCTGGAAATATGGCTCAGATGTTAAGAGCACTGGCCGTGCGTGCAGAGGACCCAAGTTTGATTCTCAGCATCCGAAGCTAACAACCATCCCTAACTCCAGTTCCAGGGCATCCAACACCCTCTTCTGACCACCAAGGGCACTGCCTGACACAGATGCACTTTACATACATGCAGGCAATTCATTCATATACATAAAATAATATATAAATATTTTTTTAAATATGTAACTGAAGCCAGGTGTGGCAACACATGCCTTTAATCCCAGCACTCAGGAGGCAGAGGCAGGCAGATCTCTAAATTCAAGGCCAGTCTGGTCTATATAGCAAATTCCAGGACAGCCAAGGCTACAGAGTGAGCCTGTCTCAAAACAAAATGTGTGTGTGTGTGGTAACTGAATTGTGTGACTATGAATTTTGTATTTTTTTTACGAATCCTATATAATTAAGTTCTTGTTAACATTTTTTATGCCAAGTTGAATATTCCCGCCCCCCCCTTTTCTGACACGACTGGCCTAGAACTTTATGTAGACTAGGATGGCCTTGATCTCAGAGATCGCCTGCCTCTGCCTCCCAAGTGCTGGGATTAAAGGTATTTCTTATTAAGCTTGATTTTGTGAATCCTTATTTGTAAATTTGAGAATTGTCTGGATATTTTTAAGCAAGATCTGTTTATATAGCATCAAGTGTATCTGTTAATTTTATGCCTGTCAGTCTGCTTGTGACTATTCTCATTTGGAAAATGAGCTACATTTAATATGTGCACATATCTCAACACAGGATGGAATAGGTAGGTTGCTTTTTGCCTGAAAAAGAAACTGTATTTATTGTCAGTTGCGTATCTTCTTGCCAGGACAAAATGCAGGTTGACCAAGAAGAAGGAGGTCATCAAAAATATCATGCTGAGCACACCCCAGAAGAGGAAATCGATCATACTGGGGCTAAATCAAAGGTTTGCTTTCCTGTTCTTGTTGTCATGTAATTGTAGGCTTTGTCTGAGTTTTGTTTGCTTGTCTGGGTGCATTTGTTTTAGACAGTGTCTCCTTATACAGTGCAGGCCTGTCTCAAACTTGCAGTCCTTCTTGTTCAGTTTCTCAAGTAGTTGGGATTATAGCTATATAATACCAACACATCTGACTGAAGATTGATATTTTGAATTGGTTGATCTTTATTTATGATGCTTGCTTTTTACTATACTTACTATTTTAACTCTTAGTGCTATGGTAAAGTATAGAAAGCTTATAACCAAAATAAATACATTTTGGAGTTTTATTTAAATCTTTTCAAAGAACAAGCCCTAATAACATATGTAAAATTATCTTTTTGGCAGAGAAAAAGACATTTGTCCTAACATTTCATTAGAAACCATACAGTCTCAGAGAAATAGAGAAATGGAACAAGGCCAAATAAAGATGTGTAATGCCCCATGTGTTAGCACTGACTCCTTGGGTATTTTGAGCAAGGCCACAAACTCACAGAGATCGACCTTCCTCTGCCTCCTGAGTTCTAAGGCATGTACCACCATGCCTGGCTAAAACTATTTTCCTGATGTGGAAGTCTGAGCAGCTGTGGTAGTATCAGGGCAGTCATGGGCTGGCAGGTTTACATCCCCTTAGCTCAGATCACCTTGACTTCTTTAGACCTGTTACCTTCATCCAAGTCTCTGAAGATAATTTGACGTAAAATTTTAACATAAACTATTAGAGGATAAATGATTCATATTGATAGTAATTGTTTCACTAATAAAATAATTGAAAGATAAAAAGGACATAGCATGTCCCTGTGCCTGGACAGTGTGGCTCTGTCTCCATGCTGCCATCTTCAGATTTTTCTGACTTGCACAGAATTTAATTTGCACAAGGAAGCTATATTCTTTTTCCTAAGAGGTTTTAAATTTTAGACTACAAAATTATTTAAGACCTGACACCTGTTTTAACTAAACTTCTCATTTTATCCACAATTTTATACATTTGTTTAACAGTTTGAGGTATAATTTATATAATACACAATTCACTCATTAAAGTGTACAATTCAGTGGTTTTTGAATATTCAGACTTACACAACCATCATCACAATTTTAGAACATTTTATTCACCCCTAAAAACTGTCCTGTACTTATTAACTTCAACTCTACTTATCCCCTAAATTCTCTCCCTTCCAATCCTAAGCAAACATCAATGTACTTTGTCTCTATAGATTTGCCTAGTACAAAAATTTCATATAAATGTATTTACAGTTCCTTCTTTCACTAACATGGCCTCAAGGTTCATCTTAGTGTAGGATGTGTTAGTATTTCATTCCCTTGTTATGACCTAATATTGCATTGCACCACTGCACACCACATTTTTATTTGTCCATCAGTGATGAACATTTATATTATATTTTTTTACTATTGAGAATGTTACTATTGGGAAGTTTTCTGTGGGGGTATACATTTTCATTTTTCTTGGGCACATACTTAGAAGTGGTCATAATAGTATTTTTGTGTTTAACATTTTGAGGAACTTCTCAGCTATTTTTTATTCTGTTTTGTTACATGTATTTGTGTGTGTGTGTGTGTGTGTGTGCGCGCACACGCGCACACACGCGTTTGTGTACCATTGCTCATTGTGACGACCAACAGACAAATTAGAGGAGTTAGTTCTTTCCTTCCACCATGAGGGGCCTGGAGCTCAAACTCGGGTTGTCAGGCTTGGTAGCAAGCACCTTTACCTACTGAACCATCTCAATGGTTCGGCTGTCTTTAAAAATGGCTGTAATCACTTTATAGTTTATAATGTCACTAACAGTTTATAAGGAGGGTTCCAATTTCTCCATATTCTAACCAAAACTTTTTATCATAAATTATAATCATAATATTGTATATCAAGTAGTAGTTTGCCATAGTTTTGATTGAGATTTCCAACTGTATATTTCTTATTTAAAAAGGATTTAGCATACACAGAGTATAAAACCATTGAGTATTGTTTTTGTGGGGGGGGTGGTATGGAGTTGGTAGTGGGGATTGAATACAAGGTTCTGTGGATGCTAAACAAGTACTTACCACTGAACTACATTCCTAGCCCTCGTAGTATGGGAATTTTTTTTTAATTTATTTATTTTGAGACAAGGTCTCCCTGTAACTCCAGCTGGCCTGGAACTATGTAGACCAGGCTGGCCTTGATCTCACAGAGATCTACCTGCCTCTGCCCCTGAGTGCTGGGATTAAAGGTGTGCACCACCCCACTTGGCTTACAGTATGGTTTTTAAATAAAGTACAGTAGATGGTAATAGTTTTGTCTTGTTTCACCTCTAAAATTTATGGTTAGTGTCAGAAATTTACACTTCTGTTTTGAATTTCTTTTGCAGTCACCCCCCTCAGATAAGCAGGACCGAATAAATCAGACTATTAAAAAAGGAAAAGTCAAGAGCATCGATCTACCTATCCAGAGTAGCCTGTATAGACAGCTGACTCAAGATCTTCTTAATAGCTACATTGAAAATGAGGTATATAAATCTGAGTTTTTATTGAAATAAGTGATGATGTATTTTGATACTACGTTGAAGTCAGTGGTTATATATAAAATCTAGGAAAGCTGGTTTGTCATTACTAAGGAATTATAAGCATATCAAACTATTTTGGACAAAATAGTAAACTGTAGTAATATCATCTATAGTACCTTTCATCTTAGTTATATGAAAATAGTGTCCACTATAGAGAAAAACTTTTCTGAGACTGATTCTTATGCTTTCCCCCTAGTTTTGGAGTTAGGGTCTCATGTAGCCCAAGTTGGCCTCAAACTCAACTATGAAATTGAGGATAACTTTGAATTCCTGATCCTCCCGCCTCTTAAGTGCTCCTAAATCCTGGGATTATAAACCTGTCCCCACTCGTGCTCCCCCTCTTATTGTGTCTTTAACAAGAACACCAAGCACGTCCTATGAAAGAAGCAGTAGCAGTCCTTCCTGGTTCTGCTTGCTTGTTTTGCCTTGGCTTGGGGGCAGGGGTTCTTTGTGTGTTTTGTCTGCGGTAGGGTTAGAGGGTCTGTTGAGTCAAAGTCTTGCTGTGTAACAGCCCAGGTTTGCTTGAATCTCAGATCCTCCTACCTCAGTCTTTCTGAGTTCTAGGATTATAGACACATATCATCACACCCAGTCTAAGAGCTCCCTTTTTACATGTGTGGTACTTAGACTTGAAATATTTTGGTTAATCTTAGTTTTAAAAATCTGTTGTCATTCTTGACATTTTCTTATGTATTGACACATGTACTTCTACTGTGAGAGAAAGAATGAGATAATTCTTTTTAAAAATATTTTACTATTTTTATTTTATATATATTAGTGTATTGCCTGTATGTAAGTGCACCTGTGTCATGCATTGCCTGTGGAAGTCAGAAGAGGGTATTGTATTGCCCTGGAACTGGAGTTAGGGACAATTCTTTCTTTCCCAGTAAATACAAGAAGCAATTTATATTTTAAAATTTATATTAAAATGCTGGCTCCTAATTTATGTAAACTTGGAGGTCAGTGTTTGAAGTGAATTGCATTCTGCCATCTACTTGTTCATTATGACATCAAGAGATTTTTGACTTTATAGTGCTTGCTTGCTTTTTTAAAAATATTTTATTTTTATTTTATGTGTATGAGTGTTATGCCTGCATGTATTTAAGTGCACCTGTGTCATGCAATGCCTGTGGAGGTCAGAAAAAAGTGTCGGATTTCCCTGAATCTGGAGTTATGACAGTTAGCGGCCATGTGAGTGCTGGGAATTGAACCCAGGTACTCTGTAAGAGTAGTCAGTGCTCTTAACCACTAACCCATCTCTCCAGCCCCAGTGCTTGCTTTCTTAAGTACAAACCTATATCATCTATTATTATTACTAAGGCCACATTTATGTGCAAACATTTCTAAAACTCCGGTATAATTCAGAATTTATATGTTTGGATCTTCATCTTCCCAAAGGAATGAATTGTAGGGAACCATTGTTATGGTAGTTTTTATATATAAAATGAGATTTTTTTCATAATTTTTAAATATCTCATAGCTTATAAAGGGATCCTTATGTTTAGAATAGTAGGTTCTTTAAGTGAATTTTTTTTTCAAGAATTATAATTTCTCAGGCTGGAGAGATGACTTAGCAGTTAAAGCACTGGCTGCTCTTACAGAGGACCCAGGTTCAATTCCCAGCACCTACATAGAGGCTAACAACCATCCCTAACTCCTAGTTCCAGGGAAAATCAGTACCTTCTTCTGACCTCTGTGGGTATTGCATGACCTGGGTGCACTTACACACATGCAGGCAATATATTCATACACATTAAATAAAAATAAAATATTTAAAAAATTATTTTTTAAAAAAGAATTATAATCTCATTCTTTCTCTCACCTGCTTCTGCCTCCCTAGTGCTGGGATTAAAGGTGTCACCACCACACCCAGCTCTTTCTTTGCTTTGTAAATGAGGAACCTAGGGTTTGAATTGGAGTATTAGAGGACTTTTATGTTCAAAAGCTTTATTGAGGTATAATTCACATATCATATAATTCTTTCACTTAAAAATGACTTTGAATGTATTTTCAGATTTTTTGGTTAAATATATGAAGCATAAAACTTGTCATTTTAGGGGCTGGAGAGTTGGCTCAGCAGTTAAGAGCACTGGCTGCTCTTATAGAGGACCCAGGTTTGATTCCTAGCACCCACATGTTGGCTAATGACTGTAACTCCAGTTTCAGGAGAATCCGGCACCCTCTTCTGACCTCTATGGGCAATGCATCCATGCAGGCAACACATTCATACACATAAAATAAAAATAATAAATAATTTTTTAATTGCCATTTTAGATGGCTGGAGAGATTGGCTCAGCAGTTAAGAGCACTGGCTGCTCTTGCAGAGGACCCAGGTTTGATTCCCAGCACCCACATGGCAACTAACAACCACTCCAGTTCCCAGTTCCAAGGGAATCCAATACCCTCTTCTGACCTCTGTGGGCACTGCATGACATGAGTGCACTTGCATAAAATAAATACATTCATACACATAAAATTAGTAAAAAAAAATTGCCATTTTAAATTTTCAAATATATACTTTTAGTAGTATTAATTACATTTAGTGTTGTACAACATCTCCACTGTTTCCAAAGCTTTCCCACTGTTCCAAATGGAAACCCTATGACCATTAAATAATAACTCCCCGTTTCTCCCTTCTCCCACTCTTCTGTAAACTTTAATCTTTCTGTCCCTTAAGAATTTGCCTAGTCTGGGCTAGAGCAATGACTCAGTGGTTAAGAGCACTGACTGCTCTTACAGAAGACCTGGGTTCGAATCCCAGCACCCACATGTCAGCTAACACCCATCCTTAACTCCAGATTCAGGAATTCTATACTCTGCTGGCACTGCATGACAAGGGTGCACTTACACACATGTAGGCATAACAATCATGCACATAAGATAAAAATAATTTGTTGTGTGGTGGTGCACACCTTTAATCCTAGCACTGGGGAGGCAGAGGTAGGTGGATCCCTGTGAGTTCAAGGCCAGCCTGGTCTACATAGTGAGTTCCAGGAAAGCTGGGGCTACAGAGAGACCCTGTCTCAAAAAGACCAAAAAAATAAAATAAAATAAAATAATTTGTTAAAAAAAGAATTTGCCTAATCTAGATAACTAGTAAGTTGTCTCATACAATCTTTGTCCATTTGTGTCTGGTTTCTTTTACTGGGCATGGCTTTAGGATTCCCTTCTGTTGTATTAGAACTTCATTCCTTTTTAAAAAGAGTCAGAGTTCCAGCCATAATCCCAGCACTTGGGAGGCAAAAGCACCTGGATTTCTGTGAGAAAAGAGGACAACCTGGTCTACATGATCGAGTTCCAAGCCAGCTGGTGTTACAGGGAGACCCTGTCTCAAAAAGACCAAAATAAAACAAAAGACTCACAGCTCTACTGTATGTACATACATCTTGTTTGCCCATTCATCTGTTAATAGATGCTTTCTTTTATTCTTTTTAGTGATAGTTAATAATGCTGCAATTAACACTGACATAAAAATGTCTGTAGTGTGTCTGCTTCAATTCCATTGGGTATATACTTAGGAATAGAATTGCCAGGTTGAGTGAAAGTATAATTTTATGTTTAGCTTTTTGAGCAACGTCCACACTGTTCCTATGGTGTCTATACCACATTACATTCTCACCAGTATACTAAGTCTCTCCACAACCTCATGAAGACTTATTTTCTATTTTGTTTTTAAAAATATAATCTTCATAGGTGTGAAGTAGTGTCTTATTATGGTTTTAACATTGGTAGTTCTCTAAAGCACATTTTTATGATAATATGGACCTTTCTAAATAGGGGAAGATGATAATGCAGGATAAGTTAGAGAAAGAAAGAAATGATGCTAAAAATGCTGTTGAAGAATACGTCTATGATTTTAGAGACAGACTGGGCAATGTCTACAAAAAGTTCATCACTGCAGAAGTAAGTCTAATGTTTTGAGAACTACTTAAATATGCATTATGTTAAGATGTCTAACCCGGTGTGGTGGCTCACACCTTTAACCCCAGCACTCGGGAGAAGAGGCTGGCAAAAAAAAAAAAAGTGTGTCTAACTTGTTATTTTCAGTTTTCTTTAGGCTATATTGGGTGGTTCTTGGTTATTTGTCCAAGTTTCAGAATGATTATGAAAAATGTATTTACAAATAAGATGTTAGAAAAATCTGAAATTTAGCATGAAAAATTCTCTTAATGAGTTTTATTTCTAATAAAGGCATTTGTAAATAGTGTCTATTAAATGTATAACTAGGACATGAACAAACTGTCTGCAATATTGGAAGCCACAGAGAATTGGCTTTATGAAGAAGGAGAGGACCAAACTAAACAAGTTTATGTGGATAAGCTTCAAGAGCTAAAGGTAATTTTTTAAAGATCTTAGGTATTAACTGAAACATTTTATAAAAACTATAGTATAAAAGCGCTGGTATTTAGTTCAGTTCATTTTTGCTTGACAAGTAAAGATTGTAAGAAAGTCAGAGCATTTTGAGAAGTGACCAATGTCACACAATAATTGAAATCAAGTAATATCTAATTGTGATACCCAGGTCCAGGTATTTAGCAGATGACTAGAATGTTACCAAGATGTTTTCAAGAAGTGATACATCTATAAATTTGACTTTTTCCTCCATTAGAAGTGTTCTCTTACTGCACTGATTGTGGAGAGTACTAGCATACTAGCCTGTTTATATATCCACAGTGCAGCTGATGGAGACTCCTGACCAGCCAAGGACTTCAAACACAGCACCTTACTCCTGATCCTTTCAGAAAACCTGGCTACCAGGTCCCTTTTTTCTAGGTCAATAGTGTGACTGACTTTAAGAGAAGATTGCTATTGGCTTCTTTCTCCATGCTTAGTACTGAGCCCTCTCCATATTCTGAAAACAATAACGTAAGAGATTAGAAATTTATGTTGGAAGAATGAAGAAAACTAGAAATTAACATTTTATTGTCTTGGCAGTTTTTCTAGCCTAAGAGAAATGTACATATTTCAAACTTTAGGAACAGCAAAATAGCTAAAACCAGCACTAATAACTGAACATCTCAGCAGCACTTAATATTAATTATTCTGCCTTAAATTTATAAGTCACTATAGAAATGAATGGTTCAGAATTTTTCACCTTACTTTGGGGTTTTGTTGGGGTTTTAAAATGGCATTTAAAAAGCAAGATTTGAGGCTGTTGAGGTGACTCAGTTGGTTAAGGCATCTTCCACCAAGCCTGACCACCTGAGTTCATCTGAGTTTAAGGCCTGGGTCTTACATGGTAGAAGAGGAAAATGGACTCTTACAAATTGTCCTCTGACTTCCACCTGCCTATAAACCTACCTACACACACAGACACACAGACACACAGACACACACACAAATAAAATTTTTAAGGCAGTACTTGCTTCCCTTTTAGATGGATCAAATATTAACATGGTATCTTGCAATAAAGGTCAAATCTGAATAGAAAGTAGACTTCAATTAATAGTAATACACTAGTATGGATTTCTAAGATTTGTCAAATGTACCAGAAAATGTTGACTTTGAGAAATGTCTGGTTCTCTATTATTTTCTTTTACGTTTTCTGTAAACCTATTGTAAAATAAGTTGATTTTTTCTGTTAGCAGATAAGAGTTTAAAACAACATGGTTATTTTCTCTTTCTAATGTACTTCTCTTTCCAAAATTATGGTATGGCTGTTAGAACATTTAGAAATGCTAATGCAGGCAGGGAAAAGATACTTATGATACAGCACACATTTTAATCTAATTAAATATGTAAAATTTAAATGTACCAGAATTCTTTACTGGTAATTCTTCAGTAAAAAGCTGTGAGTTTGGTATGCGGAGTCTCTGAAAAGTAGTAATAACTGCTATTGCTTTTCGGCTGATATTAGTGGATATTAGAAAGTCTAAGTAACCATGTTGTACATACTGTTTTAAATTCATAAATTCTGTATGCAGTAGAAGAGTCCTTATGATTTTCTTTTTCAAATAGTTCTACAAAGTTTTAGTACCTAGCTTTGAAAGGACTAACAGTTTTGATTGGGTCTTTGCATTTGAAAACAATCAGAGGTAATTGTGAATGAAAAAAGATAAAGCATGAGCTAGGCCTTCCTGTGTTAAGACAATAAGAAAAGAACCTCCAGAATTCACTTCTTTGTAGGAAAATAAGAAAGGGCACATTTTAAGCTAACTCTCTTCTCTGCCCATTTATCATCCTATAAGGGATAGATAAAAGTTTTCTGTTACAACTCAATTTATTCTTTCCAAAATGTTTCTTCTGTTCATAGAAATATGGCCAGCCTATACAAATGAAGTACATGGAACATGAAGAGAGACCAAAAGCTTTAAATGACTTGGGAAAAAAGATTCAGCTTGTCATGAAAGTGATAGAAGCATACAGAAACAAGGTACAGTATTCATAAAAGTAACTGGTAAATGGGGCTGTGTATGGTAACTCAAAAAATCCTCAGCTACAGAGCTGTAGTAGTTGTTACTGCTTTTCAGAGACTTGGCATACCAAAGTTACACTTTTTATTGAAAAACTACCAGTAGAGGATTCTGGTACATTTAAAATCTGTGTCTCCTCACATTTTTCGAATTCTCTGAAGCTACAGTATAATCCATCATTATCATTGTTTTAGGATTTCGTTTCCATGTTTCTTTTCCTTTTTTTTTTTTTCTTTTGAGAAAGGATCTCCCTGTAGCCCCAGCTGGCCTGGAAATCACTGTGTAGACCAGGCTGGCCTAAATAGAGATCTGCCTGTTGTTGATCTTCCAGTTTATTATTCATCTACAATTTCTTATACCTTTTATTCTTTTATATGCACCCAAATTTATATTCTCTACTGTTCTAAAACTTCAAATATAGTTATGTACATCTTATGTCTATTTTGATATAAAAGTAAGCATGAATAAGCATATTCTCTAAACCAGGGTTTAGCATACACTATTAAAGAGACATTATGGTTCATACTTTGCAATCTTTAGTGTGTTTATTCAACTCTCTATTGTGGCTGTTCAGCAGCAACCATACTCAGTATGTAAACCAATGGAAATAGCTGTGTTCAGAAAGCTTTACTACAAGACAAGTGCATCCTGTTGAGCTTTTCCCATGGAACAAGTTTACTGATCACTACCCTAAATATTCAGTTATCATCCAGATCTTAGGATTGATGTTAACATTGCATCAGTATGCAGGAGATACCAGAACCAGAAACATTCAGGTATGGATATCAAACCAATAGCTTACATTTGTCAAGCACTTAGTAAATTTTAGTACTTTACATGGGTTATCTCACATTATTCTCACCAGGATACAACCTATAAAACATTAATACTGTTGGCTAAACTTAAATATGAGAAACAGTGCCTAAACATCTTATTGAGCATTACACAAAGAGTAAATAATGGGAGTCAGGAGTCAAACCTAAGTAGTACAGAATCTGTGTTTATAAACTCTCAGCACTTAGACTGTTTTTCCAAATCACAATTTGGAAATTCCTTATTTGAATCACAATTCAAATTCCTTATTTTAGAACCAAGTGTATGATGTAAAAGAAAAATTTATCAGTCTAATTTGCCTATATGCTTATAAACAGAATACATAGATAATGGGAAAGTTAAAAAAAAAAGGACAGCCAGAATACAAAGAACAGTTATAGTTCAAATTATTGCTTCTCTGAGCTGACTTCCTGAGTGTGTGGGGTTAAGATAATATCCAGAGCAAACCAAGGCTTATGTTCAGGCATTTGAGTTTTGAAATGGCATCACCATGCTCTTTTTTTACTTTGGGATATAATCCCAGCACTTGGGAGGCTGATCAAGAGTTCAAGGCCAGTCTTGGCTACATGAGACCCTGTTCAAAAAAACTTTAGGGAAAAAAAATGCAGCAAAAGAACTTGGTTTAATCTTTTTAATTAGCATGTATAGTATAGTATAGTATAGTATAGTATAGTATAGTATAGTATAGTATAGTATAAATTTGTTTGTGTTTGATCTTCCTCCTCTGCTGCTGCATCCCCTACATCCTTGTACCCTTCCCTCCCCACAGTCTCCTCCATGTCTTGTGTGTCCTACTGCCCTCCTTATCCTTCCTCAACACCTCTTTTGTCCCTTTTTACCCTACATTTTCTATATGATCCATAATATTTATCAGGAAATCTTCTTGATATTTTTGTTACATTGCTGTTTCTTTTTTCTTTGTGTCTATGGTTGCAGCATCAACTATGACTACTTAGGCTATTTCTAGACTGTAGTTACTGCAATTGTATTTTTTAGAATTTTATTGTCTTGTTTGTTTTTGAGACAGGGTCTCTCTGTAGCTCCATTTGGCCTGGAACTCACTATGTAGACCATGCTAACCTAGATCTCACAAAGATCCACCTTCCTCTGCCTCCCTAGTGTTGGAATTGAAGGCATGGGCCTCCATGCCTCATTAATCTCATTTTTTAACCAAAACTTCTTATCATTTTGTATATTCATACTTTGCTATACACCTGCTCACCTATTTTCTCCTTTCTATACACATGCCATTCTATTATAACTTCTTTTCCTCAATGCAGAGTCTCTAATCATTCTTCTCCAAATCTGACTTTTGGAAATCTTTGTAAATCTACAGTGATTTTCTCCTTTTTCCTAGTGTCTTCAATTTTGTGTCATACTTGTATATGACTTCTTCCCATGAATATGCATGAAGTCTGGCATTAATAAGAATTTTAATATTTTAATGCATCAACTACCTACCAGAAATGTTACTTTTTTTCATTTACGATTTTATTTTCATTTTAATAGGATGAAAAATACGATCACTTGGATCCTGTTGAAATGGAAAAAGTTGAAAAGTACATCAGTGACTCCATGAGTTGGCTGAACAGTAAGATGAATGCACAAAACAAATTAAGTCTCACTCAAGATCCTGTGGTAAAAGTGTCAGAAATAGTTGCAAAGTCAAAGGTAAAAAGCTATAAAATTCCCCTTAAATTTTTTAAGAATTATTTATTATTTTATGTGTATGAGTATTACCTGCTTGTATATAATTGCACCTGTGTCATGCAGTACCCTCAGAGACCAGAAGAGGGTGTTGGATCCCCTGGACCTGGAGTTACAGATGGTTGTTAGCTGCCATGTAATTGCTGGGAATCAAACCCGGGTCCTCTGCAAGAGTGACCAGTGCTCTTAACCACTGAGCCATCTCTCCAGCCCCCTTTGTAAAATTTTTATTGTTCTATGTGTGAGAATATGATGTGTATGCATAGGCATGCATGCCATGAAGGTCAGAGGACAACTTTGTTGAGCTGGTTCTCTCCTTCCACTTATATGTGGGTTTCAGGGATCAAATTCATGTTGCCAGGCTTGTGTAGCAGGCACTTTTCTAAGCTGAGTCATCTCACTGACCAAAATTCTCTTTTTAATTAGTTCAAGGACAAATTTTATTTACTATTTTTATTTTATGTGTATTAAGTGTTTTACCTACATGTATGTAAGTGCATCTCTGTGTGCAATGCTTGTGGAGATCAGAAGAGGGTGTCAGATCTCCTGGAACTGGAGTTACGAACAGTTGTTAGCCACCATATGGGTGCTGGGAACCAAAGCCAGGTCCTCTGTAGTAACAGCCAGTGCTCTTAACCACTGAGCCATCTCCCTAGCTCCTGATTACTTATCTTTCTATAAAGTTTTGTTGCCATGTTTTAAATGATGTTTTCTATAATTTTTTTTTTTTTTTGGTCTTTTTGAGACAGGGTCTCCCTGTAGCCCCAGCAGACCTGGAACTCGCTATGCAGACCAGGCTGGCCTCGAACTCACAGAGATCTGCCTGCCTCTGCCTCCCAAGAGCTGGGATTAAAGGTGTGCACCACCACGCCCCAGGCCAATTTTTGACATTTTTATCATCAATTTTTGTTATTACATTTGAAAGTTTATCTCATATTAGATAAAATTAAAAGACAAGATTTCACTGTGGAAGTTTGCACATTTCAAACTTTGTCAAAGACAGACCTATTACAATGAAGATGTTAGAAGTCTTAAATAATCTGTAAGTTTGAATTATTTATGTCAGAAGTTATCAGGTTGTTTTATTTCATTCTGTATTACTCTTGGCATTTAAAAAGCAATGTAGTCCCAGAACTTGGGAGGCAGAAGCAGGCAGATCTCTGTGAGTTCAAGGCCAGCCTGGTCTACATAGTGAGTTCTGGGACAGCTGGGGCTTACAGGGAGACCCTCCTTCAAAAAGACTGAAAAAAAAAAAAAAAGCAGTATTATAGCCAGGCATGGTGGCACACATCTTTAATCCCAGCACTTGGGAGGCAGAAGAAGGAGGATCTCTGAGTTCAAGGCCAGCTTGGTTTACATAGAGAAACAGAGTTTCAGACCAGCTGGGGCTATAGTAAAACCCTGACTTAAAAAAAAAAAAAAAAAAAAAAAAAAAAAAAAGAAAGAACAGATACCCTCATACCTAGAATCATTTAAAAGTTAGTAAAGTAAAAGACTGGCCTTAAACTTCTACTTTTCTAAGTTCTTCTGTAAGTTGATTATTTCTCAGAGTTTGACAACCATTACATTATTTAGTTCTAAAAAATATTTTAGTCCATGGAGCTGGAGAGATGGCTCAGTGGTTAAAAGCACTGGCTGTTCTTGCAGAAGACCTGGGTTTGAATCATAGCACCCACATAGCAGCTAACAACAGTCCATAACTCCAGCTCCAGGGGATCCAAGACCCTCTTCTGTCCTCTGCAGGCATTGCATGACACAGGTGCACTTACATACATGAAGACAATACACTCATACACACAATATAAAAATAAGACATTTTTTAAAACTTATGAGGAAACAAGTTTTTGGAAGTTAGCCACAAAAATATTGTTAAACTACTTATTTACAAGTTTCTGATTGCTACAAAAATGCATTAGCTAAAAAGGTAAGTCCTTCTTAAATCAGTTGAAGAAACAGTTATATAGCTGAGCTAACACAAATTCAGGAATGTGGAATTATGTGGAAATTTAGAAAATTAATGTAGAATTTTGGAAGTTACTGGTTACTTGACATGATTTGTTCCTGCCCTTAGGAACTGGATAATTTCTGTAACCCCATCATTTACAAGCCCAAACCAAAAGTAGAAGTTGCTGAAGACAAAGCAAAAGCTAACAATGAACACAATGGAACAGTGGATGGACAGAGTGGTACAGAAACTATCCCAGATACAACAAAAGACAGCTCACAGCGCACTAAATCTGGAGAGATGGAAGTCGACTAAGTTTTACTTTACCTTCATGTAATTCAAACAGTGCAAGCAACTACAGGGTCCATTCATCTTTTCTACCCGGTACACTACATATGTTCAGTTGTCCATAACTACTTTTGTCATTTGTTTTTTGGAATATTTTTGAAGTGTTCTGTATTGAGTGCACCTCTGTTCATTTCCATTGCTGCTTATGTGAAGCTTTAGCTGAATAGAGATTTGCAAATCAGTTCAAGCTTTCCTCATATATTTTGTAGCCAGTATGCAGGATTTGGATATAATTGGCAGTCATCTATCTTTAAAGCCTCTACTTGCATAGACCTCAGCTCCTTTATTTAGGAAGGGTTACTGTATTGCACTTTTTTGGCAGAAGCATACATTTAATTGCATCCTTATTTTGAAAACAAATTGAAATTGATGTGGTTTAAAGCCATGGCACTGACCTTTCTCCAGTTACTGTATTGTTCTAATTTAAATATTAAAACAAATGAGAGATTCTGACATATTAGTCCATCTCACTAATGTACTATGAGAGCTCCAATTTTGTTGTCATCATATCAATGAGCTAAATCACATGGGGAAAGAGAAAGTCCATAATTTGATGTTAAGATGACACCAGCATTTGCTGCTTTTATGAGTAATGTGGATCGATGTCTTCTCAGAGTAATTCTTTTTCACTTGGAACTTTTGATTTACTTATCCTAAGACCAGCTGCTGCTAACCTAACGCTAAGCCTATACCTTCATGTTATAGGGGAAACACTTTTACCTACTCAGACATGCGTCTGTGACACTGACAGCTTTAGTGCAGTTTTAGTAGTTCTCTTGGTTTTCTTCATTGATTTTGTTAATACCTTAACCTGGCATAGTGAGAGATGACATAGCACATTACATAATATATACATATATACATGAATATATGATTGATTTAATGTTATAATATAGATAAACACTATTAAATAAGCAGTAATACTTGAAAAGGAGCACTTGTACCATAAGTCTTAGGAAATAATGCTTGTAATAAACTTAACTATGTTACACATCAATAGGTAAAATATATAATGTTACATAGTGTGCTATAATATGATGTGATTAAATTATAGTTCCTGCTGTTAAATTGCCTTTTGAAACTTTGGCTTTAGTTCTGGTGCTTCTTCATTAAATGGGAGAAAGCATAGTACACATAAGCTATTTTAAGGACCTGGTCTGTGTTTCAACAGCATTCAGTTCTGTCCTGAGGCTTGAAGCTGAAGTGATTTTTCCGCCTTGAAGGGAAAGAAGTAGAGATAAATGCATGGGCCCTGGTGTTCTTAATGCTAGTGAACTAAAGATTGATTTAAGTTACAATTTGGAAAGGCTCACTGTTTCCCCAAAGCTGTCTTTATATTAAAAACAATTTTGACTTTTCTTAAGTAGTTAAAATTGAGAATATAATATCTTCAGGGATAGTCATTTCTCACAACTAGTTCTCTAATAGAGATTTTGTTCCTACAATGTAGTCTGCACAAAAGGAAGAATATAGGAGGGAGGGCTGATACATTTTGCAGGGATTTTTATTCAGCCTTTTGGTGGGGGGAGATATCCCTTTTGCATTAAAAATAATTCATATAGTCCCAACATATTTTAAATGTCTATATCTTTTATTATTTAACATTAAGTAATTAGATTCAGTAAATGAAGAAATAC